AGATATACGTACATACATACATACATACATACATACATACATACATACAAACACACATACATGCATACATACATACATACATGCATACATACATACACATACATGCATACATACATACATACATACATACATACACAAATATAAGACACGTATCCATATGGCAAGGTGCCCATCGACGATGCCCTGCTGAAAACGGGGGCGGAGAAGCTGGCCTTGGCAGAGAAGGCCTGCCCCAGCGCCTTCCGTGCAAGAACAAGAAGAAGCTCTGGAACCTTGTTCCAAGCAAAAGCCAAAGCCGTCCTTCAGTTCATTCCATGGGTGACATAAACAGCTGGCTTCAGTTTCGGAGAGTCTTCTTCGCCTCCGAGTCGATGGGGATAGGCGTTTCGCTTCTGTTCGATTTCTGACTGGCCGGGGTTCGGCTTTCAGGGTTCCAGCTTTCACGCTGACTTGTGTCTCTTGCACGCAGATCGTGGTCATGGACAACGGCTGCATGTGCTGCACCATCCGTGGAGACCTTCTCAGTGGGTGCGCCCCGCTCTTCTGCTGCCGTTCCAGCTAGCTACCTGCTGCCGCAACATTGCTGCCGCCACTGCTGCTGCGCTGCGGCTCATGCTGCGGGGGATGCTGGTTGCTCCCAGTACCATCATGACCACGCAACACATCTGTGTAAAGCTGGTCGTCATGAGAATCAGTCAAAAGGTGCAGGCAACGAGATGATACTCATCATGTTCGTGATAACAACATGTAACCACTACGAGGGGTACCACGAAAGAGCGTGACTGCGTTGAAATCGACATGCAAGTGCTAGGCACAACGCATATCACCAGAATGATCGATGGTAGCGGCGACCGAGTCATAGCCACGACAGTGCTCGCTAACAGCGACACCTCCAAAACATACGCAGCATTGTGAGCATTATGCCTCGTACAAGTAATGAGATGGCATGAAGCTCAACCACAATGGTAGCAGTACTATCAACCTCCACCGTACTGGTGGTAATCTAAAGCAGGTGTCTATGGGGTGCAGCAGCCACGAGTGAACCACAGAAATCACAAGCGTTCAAGCGTTGCACAGCACAAGAGTGGTGTGTAGAGCTCAAGTTTGGCATCTTTGCAGATCTAGCATAGTCATGTGGCTGCTGAGTTGCTGTAACTAGTCATGCAGCTTTACGAGCATGATCGGTCAGGAGGGCATGGCAGCAAGACCCCACACACGCAGACCCCAGCTGCGCGAGTGATGAGAATCAGGGGAAGATAAGAGTATGAACACTTGCAAGTTTGCTGCTCGTTTCAACAAGAACACCGGTGCTGAAATGAAGGGATAGAAGTCTGAGCACTTCCTAATCCAGTTGAATTGCCGCAAGATTAGTAGTAGGCTTAAACACGAGGACATACCGAATCTGGTCGCAGTCAGAGCTGCAGCAAGCAAACGATAGAGTTCCGGTGGCAATAGGAATGGTAGTTGTCATGGTGGTACGAGTGGTTTTGGGTTGGTGATGGTGGTTGTGGTGGTGGTGGTGGTGGTGGTGGCGGTAATGGCAGTGGTGGTGGTGGTGGTTGTGGTAGCAGCAGTGGTCGTCGCCTTCGTAGTCGTCGTCGTAGTGGTCCCGGTCGTGCTTCTGCTGGTCTTGGTTTCAGCCGTATTATTGGTAGTGGCAGTGGCAGTTTCACAAGCGGTAGCAGTGTCAGCAGAAACAGCCGCAGTCACAGTCTCAGTAAAGGTGATGGTGGTGGTGATGGTGCACCACACACTTGTTTGGATGGATACCGGATATCTCTCCTCGTCCCGCTGTCCGCTGGCTCGGCAAAGCGCGTTTCCATCACTATGTTCAGACGTTGCGCATGCAGGTACGCAAGCAGTAGCTATCAACTAGGGACAATGAGACATCACCCGCAAGACGCTGCAGAGCGGCGTCAAGTTGGCACGTTGCCAGATCAACACAATTCCCTGAGTGGACACCTTTCAAGTGAAGGGCCTGCTAGCATGAACATGGATTGGCAGCTGCCTTCGCAGCTTTGCAGCAGGTGGAAAAGAATCCGGAGTCAAATCCCCAATCCGCACGGCACAATGCTTTGTGAAATGCCGCCGTCTTTGCTTCCCGTGTAGGAAAGGCGATACTCACAGCAACAACAAACACATGACCGCTAGTTCCGAACGACATTGACAGCAGTCTGAGTGGAGGAATTCGGCGCAATAGAGGGGAAAACAGTTGTAATGACTTTGTTGCCGGGGGAGAAGTAGATATGCCCATGTAGGAGGACAATAGGGCCGAAGACTGCTGATACTGCTTTTCTACAACAACGCTACGACAACTTTTGCAGCTGCTACCCTCCCCCCCTGCTGCTGCTTCCATTACTACAGCTCCGCTTCTGCTCCTGCTTGCTGCTGCTACTATTGCTACTACTACTACTACGACGACTACTACGACTACTACGACGACTACTACTACTACTACTACTACGACTACGACTACGACTACTACTACTACTACTACTACTACGACGAGGACGAC